CTCCCCTTATGCTGATCTCATCTTTCTAGGGCTCCTGCACTCCACACCAGGGTGCCGAAGTGCACTGTTCTGACCCTGCCCCAAGCACAGGAGCCGCACTCACAGACAACGCTTTGTGGATAGAAAGAACGTCAAAAATTCAAACCGAGGACAACAATGTGGCTGTGGAGTCCTCAACCTGTTGGCATACCTGAGATTTAGCAGTTTGGAAAACCTAAACATTCAGGAACCCGCGAGAGAATGAGAAGGTGAGAGACCAAGGACAGCTGGGTGGCTCTGGCCTCCGCGTGGGCTGTGCCCAACCCAAGACCCGCCCCGTGCCCGGGCAGAGCTGCTCCCCCCACTGCTGTTTCAAGGGCAACACAGGCTACAGTGGGGATGTTGGGAGTCTGCTCACAAGCTGTGTGGGGCTCTCTCTACCTCCTTCATCCCAACAGGTGTCTGAGGTGCCCACCCTGCTGACTTTACACCTTTACCTTCACTGAATGCCAAGTGCTGCCTCTGAGACAGTCTGAACACTGGTAGTCATCTTAAACATTGTTTCCCTTTTCTTAAGGTTCTAATGACCAAACTGTAAAAATAAATGAAATAAAACAAACTCAAAATTAAACACTCAGAGCAAAAACCACATTTTTACCAGATCTACTTTTATTTCAGAAGGAAGTTTGTATTATAGTATTTACTTCTGTTTATATACAAGTTCTTCACATTTGTGTTTAAAATGCACAGACCTCCCTTAATTCTCTTGTTCCTGCTTAAATTAGCTGTTATTTTACAATACAAAAAATACCAAAAATTGCAGTCCTAAATGTATGTATAACACCCACAGTCCCCAGCAATGAAATAGTTTACAATACTTACTCCATATTTACATGAGTGCAATAGATGCTAAATTATACATATTAACAAACTAAGCTTGAATCCAAACCCAAACAAACAAACAAAACAAAAACAAAAACAAAAAAACCCCCCAAAACAATAACCGTAAATACCTATAAAACAAAAACATTTCCAGAGCCAGAATTAGTTCAACATAACAGGCTTCACTAGTGTTTAGAATGTTTTGTGCACAAATTTCAGTTACTGAAAGTCGATTCCATTATTGCCTTTGAAAGCGAAGGCGCCAGTTTTCTTCTCCACTTCAAACCATCTCCCTGCAGGTGAGGGTGCTTAGGAGTTTGAACGATTCCGGGGAAATGTCTCTTGGCGGGCCTGCCATCGTGGTGATTTTCGTGGTTTGGTAAATTGGGCAAACATTTCAGACTGAGAGCTGGTGCACGGCCTGAGGACAGACCCCTGCCTTCCTGGGTTTGTCCTCAAGGTGGCCAATTCTCACAGGAACTGCCACGAGGAGAGGTCTCTTGGGATGAGGGGCTTGAGCTGGGTTTTGCTGTTAATTCCACAAAGCTTCTTTTCCATCTTGGTCACTGCCCTAGTGTTAGCTTAGGTTGTTAGTTAGTGCTTAGTGAATATTCATTGAATGGGTGGATGGATGTTAGAAACTAAAGGATCAAAGGTGTTCTCAAAAATGACACCAGCACCCAAGGAAGTGAGTCTCCACCCTCTCCCCAGATACACTCCGTTGAGTTGACAGAGATGCACTGAAAAGGTAACATGTCTTTTTCCTACCGATAGTGCTCTGGTCTTCTCATCCGTCCGCCCCAGACTTCCTGGTGTGTCCGCAATATTGCACTTTGGGCCTCACCCACATAAGTTCTGGTATTTTCCTGTTGCTGACAGTCTTCTGTCCAGGGCTGCTTCTCTTCCAGGTTAGCTCACAACTCCTCCCGCCTTTTAGAGGTGATCTCACAGGAAGTGCAGACTTCTCCCCAAACTGTGTGTGTGCAGGAGTAGGGGGCAGACAGGAGGCCAGGGGGTGTGCAATTCTCCAGGAGGGAACAGGAACTATTTATCAATGAACTAGCCACCCTACTCCCACCCCCAGTTTTCAGGATAGGAAACCATGGTTCTGGGAAATGGTCATTAAAATTTTAGACCAAACAGATACATCCTGGAAAACCCCCTTTTGGAAAATCTGATATAGTCTTTGAACTTAGAGACCAAGAGAAACAGTCCTCAGGACAAGATGGGTCATTGCTGGCCAAGCACAGCACCAAGAGGCTAACAGAAAGATTCATGATGCACTTGCAGAGCCAACAACAGTGACAGCGACCTTCCCGCTGCCTTTGCGTCTCCTCACACAATGCTGTTTAAATGGGCTCAATGCCTGATTTCTCCTCTGTGTACTGACAATTTCTGTTTTAGAGTCGTCCAATTAGTACCAGATGCGTTTGGACACACTGGCATGATGGGGGTGCCTTTTTTGGCTTTGTTATCAATGTATCAGGGCCCAACGAGAGGACTTCTTCAAACTTGGATATTCAGTATGTGGCACAAAAATATACTAGGTAAAACTCAGACACCGTTACATTTAATAAAAATACATTAACATAGTTTTTTGTTTTATGTACACTCTGAATGAACATTCTGGACACTACTGTATAATTATGTACAAGTGCAACATCGATGTTTTCATGACAATTTTAACTTATATACAGGCTCTCTTGTGACACGCAGGCATTTCTCTGAAGTTCCAGATGATTCCCTCCTGGTAACTGGCTCCTAAGCTGACTGCCTCTTTCTCCTGCCACTCCCTTCCTCTGGCCTGAGTCTGGAGGAAGTTCTTTGCTCTTGACTGCAAAGGAGAAGCAGGTGGATTCAGCTGTTTCTCCACTGTTGGAGCAAAATTAAATATCACTTGCTCCTTTTAAAAAATAAACTATCTTCTAGAAAAAAATAAAATATCCAGGTGGCTAAGGGACACAGTACATGTTATTTCAAGGCCTGGAAACCCATGGGGAAGAGACTTCTTTGGCCAAAGAAACACTGGTCCTTCGAACAAACAAGGATTTTCCTTATGGGAGGTCCCTCTCCAGGGGCTTCCTTCTCTCTGGCCAAGAGGCCTCATGGCAATTATAGGGGTAAAGCGCCACTCTGTGGCAGGCTCTGTGGGTGCTGTGGTGTGGAGCAGGGATGTGGGAAGCTTGGAAGAGAAGGGGTCTTTTCTAGAATTGTCTGCTCTTTACCAATGATGTGAAGAAGCAGCTTTTTGAGAGACAAGTCTCAAAGTAGAGGTGTTTTGTGCATCAGACAGTGTTTTATGGTTCGACTTCCTTGAAAACATTTTTCCAGGCAGCTCTTCGTGGGTGAGGGGTTGGTGCTGGGGAAGACACAGCACTCCTGCTCTAGGCACTGCATTTAAAGGTGAAATGCTGCAGTCTTTGCCCTTTTGAGTATTAATTTCTCCAAATTCACAAACGTGAGCATTTTGTCGTCTAAAGGTCCATCCCTATGGGGTAATGTCAGAGAACTCCAAAGTTTTGAAGCAGAATACAGACCTGGGGAGGCTGCTGCATAATGCCAGAATACAGAGCACCATACACAGGGACAACACGACACCCAGGCAGTGGCCTGGGGAGAAGAGCAGGACTGCCCTACCCCACTTAAATTTGGTCACTTTCCACTTGGCATAGTTATTCCTCCTCATCCATTTCCTCCATGTGCTTTTCATCATCCACAGTGGTCACTGCCCCGCCCATAGCCACCACCCAGGTCTGGGAAGGAGGATGGGAGAGTTGGGCTGAGCCTCTCCCGGAGAAGAACAGGCAAACGATCCCAGGTCCTTCTCCAGGCTTTGGGTGTGCGATTCCACCAGCAGCCTGAGGATGACCCACCATCTTTGAGCAGGCTACAGGAACACACTGTTGCTTTTAGGTGCAGGGGTCCCAAGTGCTGTCATGCTCTTTTCTGTTCAAGGGAGACGTGTAACATGAACGAGTCCCTTCCTCTGTGGTGTCCTGGCAGGAGTGGCCAGAAGGGCTGGAGCAAACATCAGGCCTAGAGTTGGGGAAAGGGGCAGGGGGCACACGAGAACCACACCTTATTTAGGGCCCCTTTTGATGACAACACAAACAGGAGCTTTCACAGTTTGGTCACTTCCGCTTTCCTCTCAGTCCCTGCTGCTAGGTTAAACGTTCCCTGGGGTGAGAAAATTCTTTCCCTGGCTGCAAATCAGATTTTAGAAAAACAGCAGATTGCCAATGGTAGCTATTTAAATTTTGTAAGAATGTAGGAATGCAATTATGTAAAAACACAGGCTTACTAACTTTCCAATTGCTAGATCTATTTAAAGTCTAGGCACTTAGTGTGTGTGTGTGTGTGTGTGTGTGTGTGTGTGTGTGTGTGTGAGAGAGAGAGAGAGAGAGAGAGAGAGAGATGAAGAGAAAGACAGAGGGAGAAAATTTCAAATGGATTAAGACTAAATTAATCAAGTTGCTATAGAAAACTACCTACTACCTCAGTTTACATTCTAAGTAACACTGCTGACCTTGACATTTAAAATAGCTCCCTTCTACCTTAGTTTGATATGATTCAAAAGAGCCAGACCATTGTTAATTCTCAACTAGAAAAAAGCTACTCCCTGGAAGAGAGAGATTTGCCTACATCGTGCAAGAATAAGTAGCACATCTTTTAAAAAAGATAGCAGGCTTCAGATGAGGACAAATTCATTCATCTGACTAATTTTTAAAAGACCACGTTCAAGAACGACGGATGGTGAATGTCTACTTGTAAACACTACATCTTTTGTTTTTTGCAAGTTGAGACGGCCCCAAGAGCAGTTTTCCACAAGTGAACCTGAGTGTCATTCCCAGCTCCCTCACTGGCTCTATACCCCAGCCTCCTCCAGCAACAACTGGATCACCCCTGGACCTGCAATTAAATCAGTGATGTCCTATGCAAAAGTAAAAGGTTAGATGCTGGAGCACAGATGGGAGAAACCGGCAAAGAAAGCTTGTGAACATGCAGAGGAGTCAGATGTTTCGAGGGTTTCCAGTCTTCGGCCCGCTTCGCACAGCATCTCCCCGCCTGCCCCCTCCCTGCAGACGGCGCTGGCACGCCACACCTGGCTCGCTCACTCACGGAGAGTCCCTGGCCCAGCCTCAAATGCAGGTCCCAGGTTGCGCAGGGGGCTGCTGCTTCCGGTTTCTCACGGCTCCTGACTTCTCTTTGTACACTATTGGCATCTGCTGAGAAATGTCCACCAGGGCGCTGGCCACTGCGAGACCTGGGGAGAGCCCACCGTGAACACGTGTTAAGGAGCAGCTTGCTTTGTTTTTGAAAATAATTAAAAAAAATTTTTTTTTTTTTGACATTCGTGGAGTGCAATAAACAAATAAGTAAAGCATATAGGGAAAAGTCTTCCTTCCGCCTTGTGCCTCCCACCTCCCTCCATCCGAGCTCTGCTTTCATTAGTTTGTATATATTCTTTCAGGATTTACTGATGCAAATACAAATACATATTGTTCTCCCCTCCCTACTCTTTACACAAAAGATGTAGCATGCTGTTCAGTAGATCAATGAAGCAAAGAACTCTGCTTGGCAGTCGGAGCATTTAAATAAGATTGCAGCCGTGCTTTAAGTGGTAAATTTTTCCTGCTGGCCTCCAAAAAGGGTGCCAAGAAAAAGCAGCACTCTTTTTGAGTAAATTCAGATTCATTCCACATAACTCAGGCAACACTGGTTATTTTTGTATCTATCCTATGACACAGGTTAGGACACATTCTGGGGCCAGGCTTTGGAATAAGCAAGGTTCTTTAACCGCCCCATGCCTCAGTTTCCTCATTTGCAAAATGGGGACAATAGCAGTACAGGGCCTGTGTGAGGAGTCACTGAGTGAATCCACATAAAAATCTTAGAACAGTACCTGGCTCCTCACCCCACCACCTCTACCACCTGTGCTTTAGGGACTAGTGGTTCCATTCTCCTTTTTGTACTGGGAGCTGGGTTCCCCGTGCATGTGAACAAGCCAGTGCAGGCTCAGCGCTCCGCTGAGGTTCTCAGGAGCCATGGGAGTGCCACTTGTCACTCCACTTCATTGAGCCTATAAAATGGAGGCATGTGCCTGGCACGCTTGGGGAATCCACAGCAGTGACATTGTTCTAGCAAAGGCAGAGCTGGGTACTCTCAGAGTCCTGAGGAAGAGCCATCTAAAATTGGGAGTACAGAAGAGGTTGCAGGGATGGGCTCACTTGGGGTGGGTCTCAGGTGGTGTGCAGGCTTTTATCAGGAGTTGAACAGGATGGGGTCTATCAGGCAAAGGGCAGGGCAGAAAAGGCCACAGTACCACAAGCCTGTCACTTCCCTACTGCAGTCAGGGCCTTGCTCTTAGGGAGCACAGGCCAAGTCTGCTGAGCTGGGACGCAGCAGGAGACCACGCTCCAGAGTTCAGGTTAATGGGTCATTCTACCCTCAACACAGGTAAAGCCGAGTTAAGGAGCTGAACTCACATCCCTAGGTGAGGGCAAATCAAGCTGTTACCCTATGAAGATGACAAATCCTGGCCTGATCATGCCTAAAGGCCTTCCTCATGAAGACCCAGAAACCATTTTGAAAGCTTGGCTGGAGGCGCCTCTGAATTTGACGGCTACAGTTGGGGGGCTGTGGAGCTCAGGGGCTGGGCAAGGATTCTGGGACACACTTTATCACAGACATAAGGCTTTCTTTGGCTAAGGCAACCCTGACCCCCATCATTTCAATTAAAAGCTGTGTAAAACATATTGTGCATATTGTCTGAGGCATCCCTCCAAAGTACTCCACGATTTTTCCAAAATTGTATTTCATATCTCAGTGTTTGATAAGAGGATATTTATCGAAATTATGATTTATACTTGATAGAACTGCATAGAAGACACTGGTAAAACGTTATGTAGTAATCTATAAAAATGTTTATGAGTTGTATGAAAAAAGAAGAAGAAAAAATTAGATCTATACAATCATTTCAATAAAGTTGCTGGTCAGGGCTGGAAAGGAAAGAGGACAATGAACATAGTTGGGTGTTGGATGGTACAATTATGAGTACATTTCTAAAAACTTCCTTTAAGTTGTTAAAATTGCTATTTCTGCCTTATATTTGAAACAGAGTGAAAAAGCAAAAGAAATGCAGTCATGCTAGAAATACCAATCTGAGAGTGTCCAGCTTGGAGGAGAGCCATGAGAGTAGGTAAGATGACTGAGGAAGAACGCATGGATGGAGGGGGGATGTCCTGCATTCAAGGCTGAGTAAGGGAAAAAGAGACAAGAGAGGGGTGGCAGGGACAGAGCTGAGCAAAACACTGCAGCAAGGGAAGGTGTGGCCGGAAGCATCAACACCACAGAGAGGCTGAGGGAGCTGGTGCAGGGAGCTGGGATCATCCCTGGGAAAGAACCGTGACCTCAGGAAAGACAGTTTAGGGAACACCAAGCACAATGGGATCATCTTGCCGAATCCTTACAATGACATGAGGTAGGCATGAGCCTACTGTTCACTGTCGCCTCTACACCCAAGTTCACACTTCTCGGGTTTGTCACTGGCCTTCATACGCACCTGACTGCCCGGGAGGAGGGATTCCACCGAGCCCTCGAGGCAGCCTCACAAACACAGAGAGGACAGCAGCTTTGTTGCCAAAACACGGTTCCAGAGCAATGGGTTTGGGAACAGTCTGGTGGAAGAAAACAAAGAATTAACTAAAACGGTGTTTCTCACGTGTTAATACTGCAGCCTTCACATGTGATTTTTATCTATTTTTTAAGTTTATTTGAGAGAGACAGAGAGGGTGTAGAGAGAGGATCTCAAGCAGACTCCGCACTGACAGCCAAGAGCCCGATGTGGGGCTTGAACTCACGAAACTGTGAGATCATGACCTGAGCCTAAATTAAGAGCTGGATGCTCAGCTGACTGAGCCATCCAGGTGCCCCACAGGTGATTTTTAAATATGCCCTCTGTATTAGTTTCTACTGCTGTGTAACAAATTACTTAGTTGCTTACAACAGCACCTATTTATTCTCTCAGTTTTGTAGGTCAGGAGTTTGGGCGAGCTTTGTTAGAGTTCCCTGCTTAGAGATACAAGTATATTCATCTCTTCCATCAGTTCTGGAAAATTCTCAGCTCTTATCTCCCAAAGTTCTCAAAGATCTCAGCTCTTATCTTCACAAGGTGGAAGCCCAGTTACCATCTGCACTGGCTGTTATTTGGAGGCTCTAGGGAAGAATCTGTTCAAAAAACATTCAGGTGGCTGGCAGACTCTAGTTCCTTGCAGCTGTAGGTCTGAAGTTGCCATTTCCTTGCTGGTGATCTGGAGGGGATCACTCTTCCAGAGGTCTCCTCACATGGTCCCTCCAGCTTCAGATCAGTGGTGGCATGCCAAGTCCTTTTCATGTTTCCTCTCCTGCCACCAGCCAGAAAAAACTCCCTCAGTATCTTATGGTCTCAGCTACCTTGGGATTTGTATTACTCCTACAAAATCCCTTCGTAACAGTACCTAGAGTAGTGTCTGATTGAAAAACCATGAGATGGGAATCTTGGAGGCCATCTTCGGAATTCTGCCCGTCATATCCCAAATATGCCATTCATTTCTTCAATTTGGTTGAAGAAAATAACTTCCAGAACTATGGTGGCTGCAGCACAGGGAAGGATGGGGTGGGTGAAAGGGCAGTGACAACAGTGGAGGTGTGCTCAGTAGTTGACGACAGAGCCAAAGACATGTGCTGATAGACTGGTTATCCAATGAGAATGAGAGGAAGCATGGCCCAAGTACAACTCCAGGATTTTGGTCTGAGCAGCTAGGATGATGGAGGTGATATGTACTGAGTTGGGGGCAATATGCAAGAGAAGAGGTGTGGGGAGTAACATCCAGAGCTCAGCTCTGGACATGTTAACTTGGAGATGGCTGCTAAGATATCCAAGTGGGAACTCTGAGTAAGCAATGGGATATAGGAGTCAGAGGCTCACAGAAGAGGTCTAAGCAGAGATCATGGTATTAAATATAAACCCACGATGGAAAAGATCACTGCTGTGGTTTGAATGTTTGTCTCCTTCCAAAATTCGTATGTTAAATCTTAATGCCCAATACAATGATATTTGGAGGTGGGGACTTTCAGAGGTGACTGATTACTGCCCTTATAAAAGGGACCTTAGAGAGTTCCCTAGCCCCTTCCACCATGTAAGAACAGAGTGAGAAGGCACCATCTATGAACTAGGAAGGGGGCTCTCACCAGACACTGAATCTGCCAGCACCATGATCCTGGACTTCCTAGCCTTGAGAATTGTGAGAAATTTCTCTTGTTTCTACAACACCCATTCTCTGGTGTTTTGTTATAGCAGCTCGAATAGGGCTACAACAGTCACCAAAGGAGTTGGTGTAAAAGAAGTGAGAGGAGGCCCAAAGACTGGGCTGGATGTGCACCACTGTTAAAGAGGTGGGGAGTTGGAGAGGGTTGAACAAAGAACACTGAGAAAGAGCAGCTAGAAGGTGAGAGTGTGCTGTCCTGAAAGGAGAGTCAAGAAAGTGTTTTAAGAAGCAACCAACTGGGTCATATGCTGTTGATATATGACATATGGTGCTGCTTAGTACTTAAGATTTGTCTATTTTTTTTACATCCCACAAATTGTTATTTTATCATGTTTGCTTAGATTCATGTATATGTTTACCATTTCACTTATTCACAATTCCTTCTTATACCTCAGTTTCCCTCTGGGGTAAATTTTCCTTTTTTCTAGCGCATCCTTTAGACATTTCGTTTGTACAGGACTTTTTTGGTGGCCAACTCAGCTTTCCTTCTAATTGGAAGAGATCTTCATTCTATCCTCATTCTTGGAAGGCCAAGTTGCCAGGCACGCTATTCTAAGTTAGCAGTTCTCTTCTTTATGTTGTTTGGAGACACTCTTCCACGTTCCTTTGGCTTTTGGTGTTACTAATGAGAAGTCACAGGCTGTCACTTTGTCATTTCCTTTAAGTATCTTTTTTTTTTCCCTAGTTATTTTTTAATGTGGTAAAATACACATAACATTTACCATCTTAACACCCCCCCCCCCCCCCCCCCGCCCTGCCGCCTTTTATTAAAGTTTCACATCCAGAGTGAAGCCCAACACGGGGCTTGAACTTCATGACCCTGAGATCAAGACTTGAGCTGAGATCAAGAGTTGGATGCTTAACTGACTGAGCCGCTCAGGCATCCTGGATCTTAACCCTTTTTAAGTGTATGCTTCAGTGGTATTAAGTAGACTGATGCTGTTATGCAACCATCACCACCATCCATCTCCAGAAGTCTTTTCATCTTGCAGAACTGAAACTCTACACCCATTACACAGTGACTCCCTATTCCCCCTTCCCCTCCAACCCCTGACAACCACCATTATACTTTGTTGCTATGGACCTGACTACTCTATACATCTTATAAAAGTGGAATCATACAGTATTTTTTTTGTGTGTGACTGGCTTATTTTGCCTAAGGTTCACCCATGTTGTAGCAGGTGTGAGAATTACCTTCCTTTTTAAGACTGAATAATATTCCATTGTATGTATAGACCACATTTTACACACCCACTTGTCTACTGATGGACACTAGGGCTGCTCTTAGCAGCCTTTTAGCTATTGTGAATAACGCTGCTATTAACATGGGTGTACAAATGTATCTTTGAGGCCTGGCTTTTAATTCTTGCAGGTATATATCCAGAAGAGGAATTGCTAGATTATATGATAATTCTATTTTTATTTTTTGGAGAAAGAACAATACTGGTTTTCACAGCAGCTACATCATTTCACATCCCCACTACCAGCGCCCGTGGGTTCCAATTGTTCCACACTGTGGCAATCATCCAATATATATATATATAAAATATATATTAGGTCTTCTCATTTTATCCTCTATATTCTTTTTTTTTTTTTTTTTTTTTTTTTTTTTTACATTTTATTTATTTGAGAGAGACAGAGAGAGCATAAGTGGGGGTAGGGTAGAGAGGGAGGGAGACAGAGAATCCCAAGTAGGTTCCGTACTGTCAGCACAGAGCCCCACGTGGGGCTTGAACCCACGAAGTCACGAGATCATGACCTGAGCCGAAACCAAGAGTCAGACGGTTAACCAACTGAGCCATCCAGGTACCCCTATACTCCATATTCTTATTATCTGTTATATGTTCCATCTCCTGGTCTTTCTGTCTTGCATTCTGTGTAATTTCTGCAAATTCATCTTCCAGTTCAAAAGTTCTCCTTTGAGTCTAACATGCTGTTTAACATGTAAACTGAGTCATTTAAAAAATTTTAACCACTATATGTCCCATTTCCTTTTTTAAAAAAAATGTTTTATTTATTTTTGAGAGAGAGACAGTGAGAGTGGGGGAGAGGCAGAGAGAGAGGGAGACATAGAAGCTAAAGCAGACTCCAGGCTCTAAGCTATTAGCACAGAGCCTAATCCGGGGCTTAAATCCACAAACCACAAGATCAGGACCTGAGCTGAAGTTGGACGCTCAACTGACTGACTCACCCAGGCACCTCCATTTCCTTTTTTTTAAAGTTTATTTTTTATTTTTAAGTAATCTCTACACCCAAAGGGGGCCCAAACTCACGAGCTCGAGATCAAGAGTCACATGCTGTACTGACTGAGCCAGCCAGTGCCCCTGTATGTTCCATCTCTGACAGTTCCATTTGGTTCTTTTGCAGTTCTGGTCATTCTTGACTCATGGTGTCCTCATCTTTATAATTCTCTTTTCAAGTCTTTAAACATTTCATACAGAGCTATATTATACTCTTTAGAGGTCTACTCTAACATGTGAAGTCCTATCTAAACCCACTGTCCACGGTGCCTGCTAACTCCTTTTCCTACTAGCTTCTCTCTCTTGTCCTTGGTGATCTCTGATTGCTTGATCTTGATCGGTGGGGATCCTACAGGGCTGAATTGGGGATGTTTTCCCACAGAGAGGATATGCACTTACCTCAGCTGGCAGTCGTGGTGTGTGACCAATCTGGGACCACTTCACAACATATTTGGTTCTGGTTTTGGTTCATGATTTCTTCTTTTTGTGGGGAAGGATAGGAGAGTATTCCCTGGGAATTTCACCCACTTCCTATGAGCTCAGTAATGCTTTAATAAGTATTTGAAAATTTAGGATCTATAACTACTTCCCCAGAATATCTGAAATATTTCATCATTTTGTCAAGAGAAACTTTTATCACTTTCTTCACCACTTTTTTTTTTTTTTTTTTTTTTTTTTTTTTGGAGAGGTCAGTAATATTTACATTCCATGGAATGCATAGTGAATTAATGATTTTTGCCCCTTTAAGAAAATTTCCTAAGCTAATAAAAAACAATGGTTCAATTTTATTCTTTTCTAATACAAGTTTTAAAGTATTATGCCACAGGATACTTCCAAGACTATGAGACAAATCATTTATATTTTAAAATCCCTCGAACATGAGAATACTTAATGACATGAATGAAAAACTGAAAAATGAAAGCAAAAGAGTACCTGACAACATCAGTGTGTCACCTTATTGTTAGAGAGAGAGAGAGAGAGAGAGAGAGAGAGAGAGAGAGAAAACCTTAAGAGGCAACAGAATAAGGCTCTTGTTCTCTGTGGTTTCCCAGACTTAAAAGCATAAGTTTGGACAGGTTTTCAGGACTTCTGAATCACATTCTCACCTTTATACTCCCCCCAATAAGATCGGGAGGCTCTTCATCTGTTTCCAAGGCAACGTTTACGGAGGCAAAAGGGCGACTGGCCATCTGTTGCATCTCTCGAAGAAGTTGCTATTGATCAACATAGCAAGCATTAATGCACCGAGAACTAAGGGATTTTATTAGAGAATACCACATATTAGAAGTACCTCATCCTCCCTGGGTCAAACAAATCAAGTCCAAAATGATATCTTTTGAGACAGCTGGAGAAACCTGGACACAGACCAGGTATTAGAGAACATGAGTACAACTGTGCGATGATGGGCAAGTTATTCTGCCTCTCTGAGCCTCAGTTTCCTCATCTGTGAGAGAGCACTAGGGTCAGTAACTATTTCATAGGATTGTTGTGAGGAGTAAATTAATCTATATAAAACCTCTGAGAACAGTGGCTGGAATTTAGAAATGTTCAAATGTCAGCTCTTATTGTAACAAACTTGTCTGGATTTTACTGGCATAACTTCTAATATTTTCTTATCACGAGTGATGTTGGTTATCTGGATATCCTTTCTAGTGTTAACAAGGAGGCAATATTTTTGAGTTTACTAAGAGTTTTGTTTTTAAACTAGGAATGGGTGTTGAATTTCAATAAAAGATGACATGATTATTTGGCCACGACTACAAATTTAGGTTCTATATTTACCCACTGATATAACCTATTCCAATAGGTTTTCTGGTATGAAATGATCCTTTTATTACACTGGTCAATTAGACTGCTGCACCTACAGTCATTATATGACTGGCCTTTTCTATGCATATAATGAGTTAGGACTCTTTTAAGCTTTCCATCTTTTCCCTTTCTTGGGAACAGTTTATGTCTTTTGGAAATAAGTAATTCTCATAAGCACTCAAGGAAAAAATAGACTAGTATTATTTATATAAGCTCACCTCAAACTAAAAATCTCTGGGTAATGCCCTCTGTGGAGAGAGTAATATTTTGACAAGTTTTCAACTCCTTCCCTGGCCACTGGTTTATTGAGGCTTCCCATTTCTTTCTTTCTTACTCCATTTGGATAACTTACATTTTTTCAGAACACTGTATAATTCATCAGGATTTTAAGATGTCTTAGTAACACAGCTATTAGAAAAATCCCTCTGAATATGTTACCCACTGAATTTTAAAAATGATAATTAAAAGGATGCAACATTATCTATATGATAACAATACCTTTACATGGGTCAGAAAAGCGGTCATGGCCCCCAGGAAGAGGCCCATATCCTGGAGCCTATGCTAACCTCATTATAGACACTAATGTTCAGCGAACAGTGATGCCTACGAGTTTTGATTTCACACATTCCTGTTCTCTTCTAAATCTCGTCTACAGATCAATTTTTAATACAATTAATTTTTTATTTTAAAGAGAGTGCACGAGTGGGGGAGAAGGAGAGAGGGAGAGAGAGGGAGGGAGGGAGGGGGGAGGGGGGAGGGGGGGAGGGGGAGGGAGAGAGAGAGAGAGAGAGAGAGAGAGAGAGAATATCCCAAGCAGGTTCCATACTCAACACGGAGCCTGACGTGGGGCTTGATCCTACAGCCCTGGGATCATGACCTGAGCCGAAATCAAGAGTTGAACGCTCTATCGACTGAGTCACCCAGGTGCCCCCAGATCAATTTTTATGTAGAAAAGGGCATGAGTAGATACAGAAAATCAAGGAGCGTATGTCAGTCTGGATCTCAGTGCCCTTCCATTAGCAACGATGCAATAGACAGGATGACTAGAAGGCAAATAATATCGGTGAAAGTTATGATAAACAAAGATCTTATGCTGTAGTTTTTAACCAAGTTTACTTATTTGATTTGTCAATTATAAATATTTTCTTGACTTATTGGTATTTCTTTTGGAACACAGCACTAGAAATAAATCAAGACTCACTAAAAAATAAAACTCAAGCAAAAACTTAACTAGGCTAGACACCGATTTATCTTTCCTTGAGTGAAGAGATATTTCTGAGATGCTTAGCTCATTAATTTTACTTTCGTTCTTGTGAAAGGCTCTGCTACTGAGCCCTCAGATCTCCTGCCTGAGTTAAGGACAGAGTGCCGGTAGAATATGGGTAGAACTGAAATCTGCAAGTCAATATTAGAGTTTCCTTTTAGAAAGTTAAAAGCACATGGCGCAGAATTAATTATACTCTGTATAGCACTAACTGAAATCTACTGACCACATTTTGCGGAAAGGGCAGCACTACTCCCCTTACAGTATGTCTTTCAATTATCACTAAATAGCTAAAACTGACTTGCTTTAGAGGAACAGAAAGGAAGAAGCTCTTACAGGCATTCGCGAACCATCCACTGAGGCTTACCTCTCTACGCCTGGAGGCCCAACAACTTTGTTTGATCTTCCAAACCACAGCAGCCACCAGGAGCAAAGAGAGGAAACAACTGTGAGAAAGGAAAGTACTGAGTTATTATCCCAGCCCCCAGAATCAGCACTGTCACCCACACTGCAGGTCAGGCAGGGAGTGCCCTCCCAATACCAATTCCAAGCACCTTTCTGATGATTCATCACAACCATGTCCTAGTTCACAGGAAGCCAGTGTGAGAAGACTCTCAGAAGCTGAGCTTCCTGTCCTACATCAGGACAGTACTGTCCCCACAAGGCACCAGGAGAGAGCTGCAACCTCCCACTGGGTTTTTTATTGGAATGACCTGTCATGGCTCATCCCAAGTAAGAAAAACAGTTCTAGGATAATAATAATGAACGACAAGCATGCCATTTAACTGAATTGGCAAGCCTTTACTGATAAAGTTTAACAAAATGAGAAAAGTTAATTATTACAGTAACAACCAGCTTTTCATAAGGAAGAGGTAAATACACAAGAAATAATCTTCTATATAATAATATATTCAACTATAGTTTTACAAAATAAATTCATATAATTTTTATAAAATAAAGTCAACCTCAAACCTACAACTTTCTCGAAAGTATTAGCAGAGAATACCTCCCAGTGGTCTTGTAACTGCAAATGCTTTCAATGTTCTCTCATCTGTAAACCAAGTGTGGAAGGTTTGAAAAGCTACCCTGACAGCAGAGAGAATGAGTGACTTCTGTCATCTGCAAACACAAGGCATTTGTAGCATGGGGTCGGCTTCCAAGTACCCAAGTGTGGGCCGGAGGCAGGCCCCTCAGGCCAGCTGGAGAAGGGCACTCTGAGGTGTGAGGATGACTGAACTTCCACCCTCTCTCAAGTAGAAACCTCAAGGCTCCCACAGCCCACCACTGCCCTGACATGAATGAGGGAAGACCCTTCCAATGGATTCCCTGACTAGAGAGAAGGGGCTTCCAGAGTCATCATTCAGGCGAGAGCCTTCAGTTCCTGTGTTGCTGGGCACCTTGGCTGTCCTGACACTGCTGGTCTGTTCCTCCTCCCTGACAGTCTCTATTTACCCTTTAATCAATACTTTATTGAGATAGGGCCTGTTCTGGGCCCACAAAATACACTGATGAACTGAACAAAAGACTGGTGTTCCCATGGAGTTTACATTCCGTCAGGAGGAGCTAAAAAGTAAATAAAATAAATAAGCAAATTACAGAGCATGTTAGAAGGTAGTAAATGAAACAGAAATAAAAAGAGGGTTCAGGGCAAGGGGGTTCGGGAGTGACAATGGCACTATAAAGCAGTATGGTCAGAGTGGGTGAGCCTTACTTCTTGAGGAGGTGACATCTGAGCAAGACTTGGAGGAGGTGTGGGGGGTGGCTCAGGGGATGTCTACAGAAACAGGCCTGGGTGACGGGCTCAGCCGTGCACACACCCAGAGGTAAGGACATACCTAGGGCTGCTTGAGGAACCTGAGGATGCCACCATGGCTGGGGTAGGGGGAGTCAGGTCACAGATAAAGGCAAAGAAGTAAGGGGACACAGACCATGGAAGGCCTGCAGGCATTTGAGTGGAGAAGTATCATGATTTAACTTATGCTGAGGAGACCAATAGGGCAGCGATGGTACAAATAGGGAGCCCAGCAGCCTAGGAGAGATGATGGTGGCTCAAGCTAAGCTCTGGTAACAGGAGTGTGAAAAGCACTCTGGAAATCTTGACATAATTGGAAGGTTGAGACAACAGAATTTCCTGATGTGCTAGATGTAGGGTATGGAACAGAGAAGTCAGAGATTTTGGCCTCAGAAACTTGCCATCAACTTAAACAGGGAAGGCTCTGGGTGGAGCAGGTCCAGGACAGCAGTCTGAATTCTGAGAATCTGCCTAATCACCAAAGGGAGATGATGTGGGCAGATATAGGAGTCTGAAGGCTGGGTGCCAGGTCTGGCCTGGAGATGGCATTTGGAGTCATTAGTACATAGTTAACCCTTGAACAACACAAGGGTTAGGGGGGCTGACCTCCCGCAGAGTCAAAAATCCACGTATAAATTATGACTCCTCCAAAACTTAACTACTAATAGTCTACTACTGACAGGAAGCCTTACTGACATCATAAACAGCTGATTAACTCATATTTTGTATATGTATTATATACATATGTATTATATGCTGTATTCTTACCATAAAGTAAGGTATGGAAAACAAAATATTAAGAAAATCATAAGGGGCGCCTGGGTGGCTGAGTCAATTAAGCATCTGCCTCTTGATTTTGGCTCAGGTCATGATTTTGTGGTCTGTGAGATTGAGCCCCACGTCAGGCTCTGTGCTGATGGTGTGGAGCCTGCTTGGGAGTCTCTCTCCCTTTCTCTCTGTCCCTCCCTGACTCGCGTGCTCTCTGTTTCAAAATAAATAAATAAATATTTAAAAAAAATTTTTAAATGTTTTATTTATTTTTGAGAGAGAGAGAG